AAACCTCCAAATCACCCACTGCCTTGTGGATCAGGCTATTGAGTCAAAGGCTCTGGGCGGAGTCCCTCAAGCAAACCTCCGATGCACAACCGCCACCTCGCGTGCGGTTGCCCACCAATGCAATCGTATGCCTGCACCCAAAGCACTCAGCATCCGGTACTGGAACGTGCGCACTACTGGACTGGAACTTGAGTGAGCGCCCTGAGCGACGCATTACACTGGTTGCGATGGAATTGGGGCCATACAGTATCAATATTGTGGCGCTCGGTGAGACCTGGCTCGCTGAGCAAGTTAAGTTGCATGAAGCAGATGCAGGCTACACTTTCTACTGAGTGGGCAACGCCACTTCAGCACCTCGTGAACATGGGGTCGGATTCGCAATATCCGATCGCCTCCATGGTCAGCTCGTAGGTGAACTAACTGGCATCAACACGCGACTGATGACTGTTCGCCTACGATCCGGAACTGACAAGTTTGCCACTTTATAAGCACGTACGATCCGACCGTATGTTGTCCTGATGACGCGTGATCAATTCTACACTCAACTATCCTCCGTGATGCGGTCTATGCCGAGGAACGACCGACTATTTCTGCTGGGTGACTGTAACGCGCGCGTTGGGCGTGATGCATCGGTGTGCACAGATGTTATCAGTTCGCATGGCATTGGTTCAGAAAATGCCAACAGTGACGGGCTGCTCCCACTGTGTGCCACTCACGGCCTGATGATCACGAACACTCGACTTGCACTGAGTGCGAGTTATATAACAACTTGGAAGCACCCACTGGAGTGGACACGCTCACCTGCTCGACTATGTCATCATACGTCAGCGTGATATGCCTGAAGTGCGCATGACACGTTTACTACGTGGGGCTGAGTGTGGCATTGATGACCAATTGGTGCGGACCAAACTGTACATATATTTTCGTAAATCTATGTCTTGCACCCTCGCCGTGAATCGGCGGAAATTTAACATTCTCTCTCTCTCTCTCGGTACTGTGGCGAAACGTATTGAGCGGGAGAAAGTGATGACTTTACGCCTGTGTGATGTGGGCTGCATAGTCAGTGGGTGACCAGTGACATCACATTCGCGACCATGTGACAGCTGCTTCCCAGGAGACCATCGGGCGCGAAAACTGCATGTCGCCTGATTGGTTTGATGAGAACAATGCGACGTTTGGCGCATTGGTGTCAGAGAAGAATGCAGCGTTTGCTGCACATGTCGCAGACCCCAGTGACTTGGGGAAGCAGTGATCGTTTGGGCGAATTCGACGACGACTGACCCGAGAGCTCTGTCGCATTAAAATGCATGGTGGACGGAGAAGACGAAGCAAATGGAATGCTACTCCGAACGCCGCCAACACAAGGGATTCTTTGAATCCTTGAAGGTGGTGTATGGACCGAGGTTGTAGCCGCTGAGGACGCTGATCGATGGTAGTTCAGGCGCTACCTGCACGCAGACTACAGACATAATGCAGATCTGGCAAAATCACTTCGTCTGTCTCTTGAACAACCGTTCAGTGATCAACTGACCTACTTCGAACGACCTGAAACAGCACGATGTGAAGGCGAGTCTGGCGGACGCGCCGACACTGAATGAGACGCATATAGCACTTGCTGGTGCCGACGAAATCCCGCCTGGAGTATTGAAACACGGCGGACCCGCGTTGTTGACTGCGCTGCACCACTTGGTGCAACGTGTATGGATTGAGGAGGAGGTGCCTCCTCAGCTGAATAATGCCCTTGTGTTACCACTGTACAAGAGCAAAGGAAGCAAGCAATGTGCAACGAATTATCGTGGTATCAATTTGCTGTTGTGTGGGCAAGGTGACTGCCAGAATCTCGCTCAACCGCCTCGTCAGTTCGACTGTAGAACCGAACGTGGCTGACGAGCAGTGTGGATTCCGTTCGGGTCGCAGCACCATCGATATGGTGTTTACGGCTAGTCAGTTGCAGGAGAAGTTTAGAGAATGACACCAACCTTTGTACTCTCTTTTTGTTGATTTCATCAAGTCATTTATTACGGTGAATCGCGAAGCATTGTGGCTGGTGTTGGCTAAGATTTCTTTGTCCGAGTAAGTTTGTAAAATTAATTGAATGCCTGCACAGTGGTATGCGAGCAAGGGTGCAGCTGAGTGGAGAGACCTCGGCTGACTTTGCAGTTGTCACTGGTGTGAAGCAAGGCTGTGTCTTAGCTCCTGCCCTGTTTAATATGTATCTTCATGCCATGATGTCTTGTGCTTACGGTGTTCGTGTGGAACACCGTATTGATGGTGGGTTGCTGAACATCCGTCGTTTCGGTGTGAGAACTCTAGTCGGTGAGACAACTATCCGAATGTTGCTGTTTGCTGACAAATGTGCGTTGTTTTCACACAGCGCGGATGAGTTGCAGCGCATGACTAGTGCTATGGGTTCGACAGCGGCCAAATTCGGGTTCACCATCAACACAAGCAAAACTGTCTGTCTCTTGCAGCCTTCACCGGAGGTGCAATCTTCAATATTGCCGCGAATCAGCATTGGTGCTGAAGTATTGGAAACCACCTCCCGCTTCTGCTACCTTGGGAGTGTGATGTCGACTGATCAGCAGCTACACGTTGAGTTGCGTACCCGTGTGTCGAAGGCAGCGGCGGCATTCGGGAAGCTTGAGTACCGAGTGTGGAACAACCATCAGCTTAGCATTGGCACGAAGCTGATGGTGTACAAATCCATGGTGCTGTCCGTTCTTCTATACGGCAGTGAAACTTGGACGATGTACCGTCGGGATGTGCGATAACTCGAGCGGTTCTATCAAGAGTTCTTGCGACGGATTCTGCGCATTGCTTGGTGCGAGAGAGAGTTGCGGACACGGAAGTGTTGCGCCGAAGTGGAATGTGTGCATTGGACTGCATACTTTTGCTGAAACACCTTAGCTTTCGCGGTCATGTGTAGTGTATGGATTCCACGCTGATACCGAAGCAGCTACTATAGGGTCAACTGAGTTTGGGGAAGCGGCATTTGGGGAAACCGAAGCTTCGGCACCAGGACATGATTAAAGTGAGCCCCTCACTTCCTAATTTTCATGTTAACTGTTGGGAATACAAGACAATTGATCGGCGTGCATGGCGCGATTTCATCACGAAGGCCGTCGCCGAGATGCAAGAGAACGCTTTCGTGCATGCAGAGAAGAAGCGGTAATTGCGGAAGTGACATGCACCGATGGGGTTGTACTCCATCGACATCAAGCGCATAGGGCTGTAGCACATGCGGTCGCGAGTGCCTGAGTCAGGCAGGCCTAGTGAACCACCAGCGTGGTTACTCGGGGCTCAAATTGAAAGGATGACGAGTTCTGCAGAGAATGTAGGCAGAGCCGCCGCAGCGTTCGTAGGTACGCTGCATTGGTTTTACTAACCGTGTGCTTGCATGCTGTGCCTCTTTATTTCAAGTGGTGGGTTTTCAATTTTGTCTTAATGCTTTTTTATCATATAAATGTCTGCCTGAACTATCTTCTATTAACCTTTACACGTCCCTTAAACTACTTTAATTAACATTTTCGCGTTTGTGGCATTCTCTTAAAATATATTTTCTGACACCTTGCACTTATCGTGGGTTTGTTCGTAACCAATTTATTTCATATGCTAATTTATTGAAGATTTATGTCACCGTATCTGTATGCATTATTCGATTTATTTTATTTGATCTCGTCGTTTCAAGTGATTGGCCATTGCTTGATATCCCCGGTGTGGCTGCGCTTGACAAGTTGACAAGTTGTCTGCATGTCTATTACCCACTACCTCGTCCATACTGGCTCCAGGAGACAGTTGGTCGTTGCTGGAGGGGACGTGGTGCACGGTCCTTGTGGCCGTGCTAAGCTCGAATGATGGTTCCATGCACTCATTGTGAAGCGGACTACGGTCCAGCCACCGCCTTGTGTACGATTGATTCCCAAGTACAGCGTACTTGTGTTTGCCTGTGAAGGAGTGTGGGCCGGCTCCATTGATGAAACGTGGCTCCCATCCACTTCGGGTTTACACTGGATGTGGGATGTGTGGATTGAGCCGTGAGTATTGCAGCGCAAGCCACGCATGGTCCCTCCGTAGGCGCAGGCGTTCTGTGGCTGGCCACAGTGACAGGCAAATCTGAAACCGGATGCCACTAACCATGTGCGCTTCGCCCAGTGGGAAATTTCACTGCGACTGCATTTTCCACATTCCTGTTCCACTGGACACTTCCCAGTTTGTATGCTGCACCATAACGCACAACCGCCGTCACACCCCAAACCTACCTTTCACTTGACTGGTTCTTTCAGTTCACTTTTTCTCCATTCGTTGACAACTACTAATCTACTTCGTTCGATATGTTTTCAGGTTCTTATTAAAGCTAACCTTTTCATTGATCAAAAAACATCACATTACGTAATTAAGTGGCTTTTCGTTTTATGTTCGCGGATAATGATCCTGGCTACTTTATGAAGTCTGACACAACACCGGATGGTCGTTTATTCTCATGCCTCGTTGGCAGCATGCAGCCCACGGGAGGGGTTCTAAGCTTACCACATAATGTATATTATAAACGTAAAAGCCTGTTGCCCTCGGTGGACGCTTTACTTGGATGTGGCTTGGTAACTAGTTACTTTCTAACACAACTCATCCCGCGTAATCACACACACAACTATTTGGCCGCCTAGTCCATGCATTCCACCATTTACGCTCTACAAACGACATCGTAGCTGTAGTTGTATTTAAAAATACCTGCCATGTAGCTTTAAGAACCGCAAGCCTGCCTTGTAATCCTAGAGCGCGAGTTCGATCCTGCGTAGGGTCCGGGGGACCCTCGCAGGATCCTTAGCCCAGCGACGACTTGGTGGTTGCGCGGCAGCGAAGCGTGGGTACTGCTTCCCGGCGTACCACTGATGCCTTTCCCCCGACTTCGATTGCTTTGCATCGTACAAAAAATCCGTTTTACGCTAACTTGCTTCTCAGGCATGTATTTTCTACGACTCTTGTTACTTTGTTATCATCCACAGTTCTCAGTTGAGAAGATCATGTCGCATCGCACCCTTCCCAAACGCAAGTTAACCAAATTTAGTAAGTTCTTATGTTTTATTGACCCCACTCCGTGGTCATTTTTTTAATCTCTCATACTTTATCCCTCACCATTTTACGCGGCGTTTTTCACCTAGTCCTCATTTATCGCGTGTTGGTGGCATTTTCTCTGTTTTTCCATCTAAGCTGTGATTTCTAGCATTTTGTCGTTTGGCGGTTCTTGCTTAGTATCACTTTTTAATAGACCGCATAGTGTTCACACATCCTTCCACCATCAAGTAGACGAAATATTGTGGTCAGATGTTTATTGGGAGAAGTTATCAACTGCAGCAGTTTTTGTGGGTTGATTTACTACGGGCTTCATATAATAGCACATAGCCTAAAGGACCATACGCTTGCCTTGTAATTCTGTGGTCGCAGGTTCGAGCCCGCTTAGGAGACCGGGTGACCCTCGCGGTTACCTTTCGCCCTCGTGACTGTTGGTGGTTGTGTGGCAGCGAAGCGTTGGTACGAAGTACCGACGTACTACTGATACCTGCCTTTCATTTAACAGTTGGCTAGATAGTTTCTACTTTTACGCTGTTGCATTCATGTAGCGTCTTTTTTCTATCCTTCACCCACCTCCATCGATATCCATTTCACAGCAAATCATCACTCTACCTAAAAGCAACTTTTCGAGCGTTCGACGCATTTACTGTTACGCAAATTAAAATTGCGAACTAATAGTTGCCGTTTTTGTTATTTTGCCTCGGATTAGTCAGCCTTTGTTGCAGTGTCTACTTGACAGTGTTCCTTGCATTGTCCCCGTGAGACCCGTGGCCTTAAGGATTACAAATCTGACTTGTACTCCTGAGTTCGCCGGTTTGAGCCTACGTAGGGAACCAGGCGACCCTCGCCGTACCCCTAGTTAACGCGCGATTGGTGGTGGTTGCGCGACAGCGCTGCGCCGGTACGCAGTACCGGCGTACTGCTGATGCCTCTGTGAAGATGTTTTTGTTTATGGACGCTGCCCATAAAAGCCTTCGAAGCCGGTCCTCTCGCTTGCAGCTTAAAGATCGACCCGACGCAGCCTGAAGCTAATTGACTAGCCAATGAGAGCGAGCCAATTGGAACGTTTTACCACCATTTAGAATGACTTGCCCTGAAATACGTGCACTCTTTCGGCAACCAACAAGTGCATCTTCAGTCATCTCACAGGAACTTTCACTTAACTCATTCTCCTGTGAACTCTTTATTTAAGACCTGTCTTTTACCTGCTTGCCGCATGTTCAACGCTTTCGCCGGAGCGCGTTGTCTTATGCTTTGAGAAGTCGGACGGTCCTGATTGCTCAATCGCAGCAGGTTGTCCTTAGGGCCAGCGGAAGCCACAACACTTTTTCTTTTATCATTATATCCTTATATTAGTATATCATTAAACTGCCATTTGTTGGAGCATTCAACAGAAGAAGAGCCTTGTAAATATCGGGGCTTTTGTCAGCTGCTCACAAAATCTAACACAATCGAGCGCACTCAGTGGTGAGTGACTAAGGTGTACAAACGCAACTACCTTCTTGATGCTTCGCTTCCCCTGAAGCACCATTGCTCATGTTATTTTCCGCACTTATAGCTTTATCTTTGCTCTTGATTTTTTCGGTTTTTTTAATTCTTACCTGCTTTTCCATACATACGTATGTTATCTTCACGATGTGTATGCCTCTGGTTTTACCTCACCCTGAAGTGATATGGGAGCCAGCGTTTTGTTACCACGTTTATGTTTTCTACTTAGTGACTGGCTCTTTTTGTCCTCCCTTTTGTTCTTACACTTTGTAGTCTTGGAAGCCATTAAGTCGTACTCCGCATCGCAGCTGAAGATGGTCCAATTGGAATACTTCGTGAAGTTTCATGGGCGATCTTACTGGAATTGCGCTTGGATATCAGGTGCCGTTTTGTATGCAATTCATCCATCCATCGTGCGGAACTATATCAGATCTAAGGGCATCTTTCGAGTTGACATTGAGGTGGAATGGAAACCTCAGGAAATCGAATCACTTGATTTTGCTGATAAACGTCCTGTTCCGCCTGCAAACCATCCATCTTTTTTGGAGGAACCTTCAGGTTCCAAATCTTTACCGGTGACAAAGATAGAGGAATCCACTGCTGCTGATTCGAAATCGAATTCATCTTCTTCGATAACTATCCAGCATACCAGCGAAGAAGAGATTGACAACGAGGACTCTTTAGATCATTGGACTGAGGCTCATACGGAAAATATTCAGAAGCAAGTTGCCGCAGTTCGCATGCACATAACGCTATGTTCTGATACTCACTGCAACTTCTGTTAAAACTGTGGTTGCATGTGCTGGCCACCATAAGCAGTGGCAGTATCTAGGGGTTTTACGGCTTGTTTGCCCTTAAAGAAATTATCCGCACCATTATCCTCATTTACTCGGTTCCGTCAAAGGAGCTGGTTCTACAAGTACTATCCTTTCCCTGTATGTGTACCAGCGAACAGCGGTTTTACAACGTCTGTCATAATTAACTTAAATAAATAACTAAGTTCTTTATTCTCGGGTATTGCGAGATACGTCTGTATAGGCATGACCATGGTAACAGCGCAGCTTTGCCATTAATATTGGAGCTGTGAGTTCACACATGTATGTGGGAGTGCATGTGTCTACCTGTTATTCGAGTTTGAATATGTGCCACTGCATTTATGATGGATCGCGTGGATAGTGTGAGAAGGGATGAGTGACGTCCGTGGTGAAGGTGTGATTTGCCGGGTAAATATGGGGCCAGGATTTTGTTTGGAGGCGAGTCACATCCGCCTCTTCGCAGTGCTGTTAAACAGGCAATAGTGGCTTTTTATAGCGAGAACGCTTGCCAGGCGAAAACCCACCACGTCCTGGAGCACTGTCGCCTTTGACATAGTGCGCATCTTTGTACTGCGTTGGGTTGCGCTATGTAGCACATACTATTGTGTCCATCTCGTCTATTGCGACGCAGCATACTGCGTTTATCTTCCTTATTTCATGGTGTACTTTTCTTTTGGCTGACACTGTTTGTCTTCAAGTAATTCATTTGGTCGATCATAGTTTGCGCACCGAACTGCGATGCAGGCGCGTAGCCTCAGCTCACTTTGCCATGGTGGCAATAATTCAAAATGATCATGGAAGTATAAAAATAAGGATAAAGGTCAGTTCAAAACCTCGTCATTGATTTTGTGGCTTTGTCATACCCGATCGAGTTTTCAACCGTTTCCGTGGCTGCTCGCGATGATTTCCAGAGAAGCGACACAAATCATGCCGACTCAGGTTTTTCGTAAATTTCTTCGCTCTCTCCCACCGTGTCTGGATTTCAGCAAACCACGTGTACTTTCTGTGGATAGTGATTTTCTGAGCAGTCTGCTGGCAGTTAGTCCTAATGGGTTTGCAGTCAGTCGGAACTTCCTAACTGGTACGAATCCTGTGCAGACTCGCTAACGGCTTCACTGCTGATATTGTCTACATTTACCATGATTTCCTCCACTGCCGCATGCTTTTGAGCATTAAAAGCCCCATGTACAAACCCATCGTTATCCTCGTGTCATCAATCCAAGTCTCGGTGGTTTCCTGGCTCTTACCGAAATTACCAACGATTAACCATTATTTATGCAGTCATTTAGGGTCGATAGACGTACCTTTTCTAAATAACACAGCCAGATGTTTTGGTATCGCGTGAATGTATAGTTGCATAAACTTGAATGATTTCTGAAACATTCTCACCACCATTTTGTTCGAAATGATACTGATTCCACAAACTGTGCGTAAGTTGTCTCTATTATGACGGAAGCGAGCAATCAGAATGGATGAGCTGACTCCGCGGACCGAATCATGCCGCCATTTGGATGTGGCACAACGTTCATTTTGGATGCGATGCGCCTCAATGTATATTACGACCATGCATATTATGTGATTGTTTTCTCCCACTGACTCACCTGTATTTAATGCATCATTTATCTCTTAATGACCAGCATTTTGGCATCGAAACGAACCGTGATGCCACAGGCACGTAGTTTGACAGTGCTCTACTGGCCTGTCTTTGTCATTGCTGTCAGGCGTCTCCGCTCAGGCAGTTGGCAACCTGGTTCTTCTTCTTCCTCCAATCTTGGAGCTTAGAGCCACTATTACATTTCTACCTGTATTTGTTACTACCGCCTGCTGTCTGTACATGAACTGTTGTATTAAACCAGTACTGTTAATATACCTCTTATAGTATATTTATTCAAAATCTTAGAGCAGACAAATGTACCACCCGAACCATGGCTCTAGTGGAATGTAAATTTTTTTTCAACAAACAAGGGAAAACGACGTGTTTCTTCTCCTTTTTAGTGTTTCACACACGCCGTTTTGATTATTTTTGTTTAAAATTGAAATTTGGATGAAAAAGAAATGTTAGAACAGTATTGACGCCGCTGGTTTCGATTGCGAACCACAGCCTTCAAAACTTCCAACCATTTGGAGTCCCCATCACGTGGTCCCCAACCTGGAAGATCCTGCTGTTGCCAACCATGAGGTGACATTCTTTCTGTTCCTTTTCTACCTCATCAGTTGCCCCCCCCCTCGGCAATTTTTTCCACTCACACCCAGGAATTGCAAATAATGCTCGGTGAGGAAGTCGATTGGCTGGCATGCGCTATACATGACGGTCCAACTTAAACGGTGTTCGAGCATAATACTGAGTTGCTTACATGGTGCTACCACCACACATGAGCGATCGTTTGTAAACAGTTATGGCAAGATGATGATCGTTTCAGATCTGCCGCGCAAACAAGCCAGGTCTCGCAGCCGTGTAGCTAAACCGCACCGACAGTGTCACTGTACACTCTGCTTTTGAACCTTAGACTAATGTCAAGGCGACGCAACAGGTGTCTCAGGTTTTCGAACGCCAGGCGGGATTTAACGATTCGCTGAGTTACTTCATCTCCAACACTACCGCCCGCCGTGATACAACTCCCCAGCTGAACGAAGCGATTAACTTGCTCCAGTCACTTACTAATCTTGGAGTAGTGCGTTGCACTTGGATGGAGCAAAATATAGATTTAGTTTCCTCGATCGCTAGGCGGTTCAGAACGTTTTGGATGGTCTGTGGGTCGTTCCTCAGAAAAGCGATGTCACCAGTATAATCCAGGTTTTGCGACTCTGTCTCCGAGGAGCTCAACGCCGCAGCTCTCGGCTCCTCGATAGCAAAGTTAAATAAGAATGGTGAGATAGGGAAACCTTAGCGTACTCCGCTGGTAACAGCAAACGATGAGGAAAGCGTTCCATAAGCTCCAACTTTGCCCGATGTGTAACGATAGGGTGGGATTGCATATATTTGTGTTGCTCAGCGCATTCCTGCGTCTTGCGGTGCCATTTTATGCTCGAATAATCCTCTCTGTCTAGCGTGCTTCTTAATGCTCAAGGACACTTCGGTACAGAGGCATTGGCAGTCGCTGACATTCGGGGACGTGCTAACCATTCACCACCGTCATTTGAACTGATAATTTTGAGCCAGTGGCGTCTGTGCAATTTAGGTGTGTTGGAAAGGTAGTTATAGTGGCTACTGACACCATTTTACCGTGGCTACTCTGTCTATTTCGAGCGGATTACGAAGTGACATTTTCTGTCCTGTCTCCTTGCTGATGGAAGTCTACATTGTTTTTTATCACGTTGCCAATATTAGGATGTGTTTATATTGCTATCCTGCATTATGATAAAAGATGACGTCCAGGGACCTCTTGAGACGAACTGAGCACACGTTTCCGTACTGTGAGCCGCTCGTTTTGTCTGTTCGGAGTCTAGTGTAACAAAGTCGGTGGTTTTTCCGCCAATTTCGCTGCTTCATTTCTTTAACTCGCCCACTTTTGCCAGTCACTTTTCCATCTTTCTTCTATCTTTCTTGTTCGCCCCGGCACAGATGGGTCTCCTCGAAAGTGGAGAACGTTGGCTCCCGTCGTCGTTACCTAATCCGTTGGGGAGTCGAGAGAGAACAGCTCATACCGGAGCAGATAATCTCTATAGGTGACGCTGTGAATCCCACTTTTGACGGAACTGGTGACGCCGACTCTTATCTTACTAATAAGGAAACAAGCAAAGCACTTCAATCTATTGGCTACCGTGAGGTTTTGGTCGCATGGTTCCATTTGCCTCGCAATCAGGCCACTTGGGAGATTGTAGAGGAGGACCTAGAAGCGCTGGACTCCATCGCGCTGCACCTTAGCCGCGCCCCTGGATTAACTGTTCGAGACAGTACAGGACGAAAACTGCTACCTCTCACTGTACGGCGTCACTTGATTCAATTGACAAACACCTATTGCACTCGCATTGCTAGGATGCTGTGCGACGCATATAGTTCCTACGCAACGATTGGCAAACGACCTGGTCCAAACAGTGAATCTTGGGATGTGAGTCTGTGTTTGATTTAGCGGCTTACCCATGTTCCTTGCGCATCAAATTTAAGTGCTAAGAAGTTTTCTACGATCTTACATATTTATCGACTTTCATGGTGCGATTTTTTTGTTGTTGTTCGCTTCTCTCAACCAAAGAGATAGTTAAAAGATGTTTTTCAACTAAATTAATCCACGCATCAACGCAGTCTAGTGTTCATCTGCGTTCGATAATCGACATTTTAGCTGAATATTCGCCCGCTCGTGTTGCATAAAATAATTTCTTGCCTTGTCGGCCTCATCATTTCACTCGGTTACGAAGTGATGGGTAGATTTTCTTGAACCAGTACGCAACTAGTTATGCACATACACTATGAAAGACATTCGCATTTATGAAACAAGTCGGGCGCATAAAAGCAAATGTTAAATTGATGCTCTCTTTTGATGTTGACTCAACGATAGTTCCGCTGATAGAAATGGTTAATTTGCTTTGTTTACCGAACAACCTCCTCGTGGTGCCAGCTGAGTGGTTCGGGTTTTTCCCGTTCCAGCAAATGGTTCAGCGATAATGTTCCAGGACGTGATGGGTTTTCGCCTAGCAAGCGTTCTCCCTATAAAAAGCAAAAATGTCTGTTTAACAACACTGCAATGTGACGGATGTGACGCCACTAAATAAAGTCACTGCCCCTTGCCCCTCCCTGTGTGACATTCTACTTCAAGGGTGCGTTGTTCCGCTGGTCCTTCACAGACCGAAGGACGCATGAACCATCTATTTGCTCACCGGCTCCCAACGGGTTGCGACGCTTTCACATCGCCCTGCTGCCTTTTTGTTTTGATCCTTCATCAAAGGCTCTGGGTAGGGCCCCCTAAGACAACCCTCTACTTTGGCCTGGGCAACCGGGTAGTATCACACCCACTGACAAGTCATGGATCACACTGCTTACTACTGCTCTTGCTGTGCATATCATCTGCTAACACAACTCCTCAACCTCCACTCACAAATCACCCGACTCCCCGTCCCTCACTTGTATGTACTTTTGTGTCATCTTCGGTCACCGTCACAAACGACCCACTTTCGCGACTTATGGAAGTGACAGCCAAACTCCCGGTTTTCATTGTCCTGCGATCGCCACTGTCTCTCACTCCACCGAAGCTCCAGTTCTTCTTGGACTTGGTTCTCCATTCATCGTCCCAGCGTTTAATGTTCGAACTTTTATGCAAATCGGACGACAATCATGTCTGGCCCGTATTCTTGAAACGCTTTCGGTAGACATCTGCTGCCTTTCGGAGACCAGTTTACAATACTCTAGTGTCGTCATCAGTATGGCCTCTCTGGTAAACCCTGACGCCAAATACCATTTGCGGCTTTCCGGAAGACCAGAAGCTACCGCCTCTGGCCATGCTGGTGTCGGGGTTGCACTGAGTGCTCTGTTTAACTGAATCCCAGTCAACAGTCGGCTGTGCGCAGTCCGATTAAGAGGTTCATGTAATGTAAACAGGCGTCGAGACGTTAAGCGTGCCTTGTTTGTCGTCTCCGCCTACGTCTCTACAGACTGCAGCCCGGATGCAGTCAAGGATAGCTTTCACCAGCAGCTACATGAACATCTACGTTCCTCCAAATGGATTAATATAGTCATCCTTGCCGGAGACTAACGCACGGGTTGGCCGCATTCCACCAAGCGAGCACCACCTTGTGGGTATTTTTGGTCTCTGTGGCAGTCGATCGGACAATGGAGACAGACTGCTTGCTCTTTGCTCCGATCATCGCTTGTTTCTTTCGAGCACTAGCTTTCGGCACTCGAGGAGACGCACTGCTACCTGGCGTCCGCCCTCACAAACGCAAGAGGGCTCCCAGTTTGACCACATAACAATTAGCTACAGATGGCGCGGAAGCGTAACGGACTGCCGATCGTACTGGTCAACTTATCTAGACTCCGATCACGCATTGGTTCATGCTAAGGTTTGCATGTGTTTCGGAGGATCACCCAAGCGCGCTCACTACCGACCGGACGTCGCAAATCTACAAAACAATGCGATTTGAACCAGGTACCAAGCCTCACTGTCAACATTGGTTTGCTCAACTATTGACGGTAACCTCGATTCGCAGTGGGCGCAGGTAAAAGATACCTTAGTTTCCGCCAGTATCGACACTTGTGGAGTTGGACGTCACCCACCGAAGCATTGGATTTCCGCCGTCTCCGCCACTTGATCCCGTCGGATTCCAACTACAGTAAAGGATTCCAATCCCTGGGTCGAGAGTTGCGCAGTAGTCTGCAAATGGACCGCGAAGCTTGGTGATGTGAACGTGCTGGGGAGATGGGGCTTGCTAGTCTCTCTGCTAATACCAGAAAACTTTTCTATCTCGTTCTAGTCACCGAAGGTGTTTGATCTGGTATAAGTGAAACAATATACGAAGAAGATGGCACCATAATCTCCAATCTTCAACGACGGTTGGAGCGATGGGCCTAACATTTTGGCTCGCATTTTTGTTGGCACCCAGCCCCACCTGCTTCCTCTGGCGCTTGCACTGGTGCCGAGTGGTCTACTCCCACAGATCCTCTCTCTTACTAGGGGATCGAGCAGGAGCTCCGCCCCACGAAGTTTTATAAAGCCACTGGCCCTTATGGTCTTCCTCCAACTCTGTTTACAGATGGTGGCGCTTCGCTGGTTCGAGAACTCACTGCTTTGTTCTCGAAAGTTTGGTCGAAAGAGGAAGTTCCATCATCTTGTGGTGAATCCATAGTCATCCCCATCTTCAAAAAAGGCCTGCACACAATCTGCTTCAACTACAGCGGCATAAGCTTAGTCCCCGTCGTTTGCAAGCTGCTGGTGTCCAACATACTTCGCGGGCTATCCCCAACGCGCGAATCCTTGCAGCGAGAAGAACAAGCTGTATTTCTCCATGGTTGCGGCTGCATCGATCAAATCTCCCTATTCCGCCAGCTCCTCGAGCTCCGCCATGTGTATCAGAGGCCAACAATTGCTGTGTTCTTGCATACTCGTGCAGCCTTCGATTCTGTCCATCGGACTGTACTGTGGCACTGCCTGCTAAGGAATGGCATCTCCGAGAAGTTCGTCTCCATACTGCGCGCTCTCTATTGTCTGACCTCGGGCATAGTTAGGGGTTATGGCAAGCTTTCGCCTTCCTTTGTGGTTTTCATTGGACTTCGACAAGGATGTCCTATCTCTCCGTTCCTGTTCAACTTTGCCATTGAGGATGTCCTAAAGAACACTCTCTGAGGGATTCGTTAAATGCTGACATTGATCTTCTCCCAGGTAGTCGAGTTGTTGATTTGGATTATGCTGATGTTATCGTCTTGCTGGGTGACGATCCACGCGCCGTCCAACTTGCATTAAAACGCTTGCGATAGAAGCATCAAAGTATGGTATGTAGTTTTCACCATCTAAATACAAGGCTCTCTTTCAAGACTGGCAGGTGCCTGTGCCTGCACTCACTCTCGGTAGTGAGACACTGGAGTTTGTGGAGAGCTTCATCTACTTGGGAAGTTGCATCAATGCTGGCGGGGCTGTTGGAGACGACATTTCCATACGCATCTTAAGAGGACGTCTCGCTTTTTATAGGCTGATAAACTTGTGGCGTCGGCACGATATTCGTCTGTCCATCAAAGTGCGGGTCTATTGTGCAACTGTTCGTGCTGTACTGTTGTACACATACGAGACTTGGCCCATTCGTAAAAGTGACGTGTGCAGACTATCCGTCTTCGAGCACCAATGTCTGCGGTCCATTTCCCATGTGCGGTGGTGGCACCACGTAAGCAATGCGGTAGTTAGCCAGCTTGTCTTGGGACGAGGTAGCCACTCGCTCCAGGACCTCGTCTGACTGCATCAACTGCGGTGGCAGGGACACGTATCGCGCATGCTTGTTGGGCGTTTATTTGCGGTTGCTGGATGGGGCTGGAAGAGACGGTCTGGTGGACAGCCTGCAATTTAAAGAAGTCGCCTGAAAAGCTGACGAAACAATTGGCCTCGGCCGGTTGTTGTCAACTACCTGTTTGGGGTCCTAGAGATCCGGATACTTGCTGGTTGAAGACCTTGGAAGCACTGACTCAAGATCGATGTCAGTGGCGGACGTGTGTGTTGCGGTGTCCCTCTTTCCTCCTCCTGACAAAACAAAAACAAATTGAAAAAGTTTCAAGCACTGTGAGTGGCAAACGGAACAAAAAGGGCTTTCGTTGTTGTTGTTTTCTCATTATTCGTACTATTTTCCTATTCAGCGATGACTCCGACGGCATAGTATCTGTACCACAGATTAATATATATATATATATATATATATATATATATATATATATATATATATATATATATATATATATATATATATATATATATATATATATATATATGGTATGGCGGCATCCGTATCTGCACTTACCTGTCACTGTGGCCTCCGTGCGTACAGGCACAGGGCTCCTGCGCCTACAAAGGGGACCATGGGTGGCTTGTGCTTCACCACCAACAGTTCTACCTACCCTCTATATGCGGTGTAAACCCGAAGGAATAAGACCGGGAGGCATATGGATGGAAGCCGCGTTTCATCAACGAAACCGGCTCACAAATTCAACAAGCAGAACGGAATCATTCCCGCCTAATTGGGAAATCATGCACACTAGACGTACACATGGCGGTGGCTGGACCGTAACCCGTTCCACACAGGATGGAATCACTCTTTGATCCCACCGTCACGAGGACGGTGCACTCCGTCCCCTCCAGTGACGACCAACTCTCTCCTGGAGCCAGTATGGACGAGGTAGTGGGTAATGGACAGGTAAGCACCTTGTCAACATTCACATCAAGTGCATCCGCACTGGGGAGCTCAAACAACATCTACTTCTGAAGTGCAAGGTTACTCATCACGCAGGCAAACGTACCATATACGCCGCCTTATTGGCTCGGATTAGTAGATCGAATGGGAGCATACGCATCATGCTTCGATTCCGCGTTCAATACTACCTTCACCTGAGTATCCGCTCTTATGGTCAGTCCACAAAGTTCGC